TGGCTCAAAATGTCTCTATTCTTTATAGAGCCTCAAAAAATTCACGCTGACATCTCAGTTTGGGTAGGTCAAGGACACACTTAATGGACTTCTGTGCAGGCCCACAATTTTGCTAGATTAATTTCTAACCCTGTCTCTCTGAGATTCCGCTTCACATACACAGATTTTAAATTTTTTTTATGACATCCATAAGACAGAGTAACAGTCACAGGAAAACGAGATGTTATTATTTGATTAGTAAATATCCTTCAGACGTTCTTTCTACTTCAAAGGGTTTTTTTCCCCCCTTTCATTTCATCCCCATGGACAACAGACCTCCTTGGTTTTATACTTTCTGTACTTCTTTGATTAACCTGAAGCGTGTCACTCCTATCTATGTATTTTGGGGTGATCTTTAATGTCTCTTTTAAGAAAATTAAAAGGAATTTCTCTTTAGACCTCAAGCACAAATTTAATGCAAAATGAAAACTTCAACGAAAGAATTAGTCAAAAAATCTCTGTGATTTAAAATGAACACACCAAAAAAAAATGGAATGACTGAATTTGCATACTGGAATATCTTTAGGAGTTCGTTGATTTATCTGGGCTTAGGTTTCACTATACCTAATCACTAGAAACTCTGAACACAGAGGTTTTGTTTAAGAATCATGTGAAGGATTTTCACAGTCCTTTTTCACTTCATGGAGCATTGCAAAGACTAAATAACACTCATACACTCTCCTGCTGCTTCACACCCCCTTGGCTTAAACAACCCTGAAATCATATTATTTCCAAAATCTTTTGATTACTTCTTAAGAGAGTGTAGAAAAACCTTTGTTTAGGAGATCAATAATGTCCTTTAGGATGTTTCTGGATGGATTTTCAGTTATTGCAGCCAAAGTTAAGCCTCTCTTGAGCTTTGGTACTGAAATGTGAGATACACACCTGATATCTGTGAAATTTGTGGACATTTGAAATTCAGGAAGGGAATGCTATGTAAGAGCTTTCCTTTCTCTGTTCTATTAGTATGGACTTTTTCTATTAGTATTTAAATTTTATTTGCTTTTTCATTAATCAAGCTTAATTAAAAAGATTCCAGAAATAAAATTAACATGCTCAACTCTTAAAGAGTAAAACTTAGTCAAATTGGACGAAATAAAGGAACAATTATTAGACAGCTCTAAACATATTTTCTACAGAGTGTTAAATTTGATCTTCATTACTGTTAATAGCAAGAGCACTTCTAAGAGCATCTCTGGATCAAAATCCAGGTAGCCATACAGGTACTGCACCAAAAAACTCAGAACACCTGCCAAGTCACTTTTAAACCAGGTCAGTCTTTGAGTAGCTTCTTGGATTTTCCTCATGTTCACTTGCATAGAAGAGGGTTAAGTCTGTTCTTTGCAAAGATCTTTGGCATGATCTTTGATGACAAATGACATGCTACCATATGCCAAAAAATAAGGGGAATACAGTCACCCTCGGCTTCAACTTTAACTGGAGGTGCTTTGTTCTGAGTGCCCTGAATAATTAATAACTGCTTTGGCAATCAGTCATGCATTCCTTAATGGCACCTCAGGCATCAAGTATCCCATTCACCCGCTCCCCAAGTAACAATGGACTTTATTACATCAAGTTTTCTCTGCCAAACTTGTAACTGACATAATTTAAACTAAACAAGTCACTAGAAAGACTGAAGCCCAAACATATAAGAGTTTATAAGGTTTCCCTCAATTGCTTGTGGCTACTATATGGATTAGAGCTGTAACCGGGGGCAAGTGCAAGGAGGGGAAAAGAAATGAAATATGGATTGTTTTTGCAATAAAGTTCTAGGAGGGTTTAGGTGGTATAGTGCTGCCAAAAACATGACTTTTAATAAATGCATAGCTGAACAGTCAAAATGCAGAACAACCGCTAAGCAGCCCTTAGCGAATAAAGCAGCTCACCAGTAAGCACAGACTAAGTGGCAGGGCAGAGCATGAAAAGAGTGGCTCCGAATAACAGCTGTGCTGAAAGTAGCAGAATAATTCTGAAATAACACAAACTACATTTTCTTAGTAAGAGTAAACTTTTTCAACACTTCCTTCCACTTTATGGTATTCCAGATAAAATTAACTTGCAACTACAGAACAGAGGAAAGAAGAGTTAGACCAGTTACAATTATAGAAAGTTCTAGATGTAGCCAGAGCACACAATTTAAAATCTAAGAAATTCAAATAATTAAACTGTAATTAGCTAGAATCCGAAGAAAAGCTTCATGTTTCTCTTGGGGAGCATTCTGCTTGTATACATGATTCTATACAGTACATGTACTGTTTTTATGCTGCCACAAGAAACCTTTCTAAAAAATGCTGTATCTGTTGACATTGGAACTGCTGCAAGTCCTTTTGAGTGACAAAATCTTAGAAGTAAAGTAGTCAGATCAATAGCCATTCTCCCCCTACTTATTCATTATGTGAAAAGTTGGTTTGAAATATAATATACAAAGTCAAAATACATATATACGATAAATTACAGCAGATTTAAACAAAGCCATTTCTCTTGCTCTTTAAAAGACCTGCAAATGTGTCCGGTGCCCCTCTCTGTGTGTGGCCTCCAAATACAGAAACAAGCTTGCACTGTTTTATTTCAGTTTTGCTTCATTTCTCCCCAAACAATCTCTCATTGCTAGTCTACCGGGCATCTCCCCCTCCCCCTCTTGTCAAAAAATGAGGAAAAAAAAATTAACTGTTTAGGACCAATATATTGAAGTGAAGCACTAAGTGAATTGGTTTTGGCTTTGCAAGAACTATTTAAAATTTACGCTCATTCCTAGAGCTGTCATCTTTTTTGCAGGGAGGTAAGAGGGAAGGGAGTGTTGTAAATTTTAGTTTCTTTTGAAATGTTGGATGAGATAGCTTTATAGTTTTAAAGGAAAACACATCTTTTTTTTTGCGTCAGTTTTCGGTCACTTTAGGTACAAGAAGCAGGTCCAACCCTGAAACTCAGCAGTATAGATTTCATTTACAATCTGCAGTCTGAAATGTGAAATTATATTTTGCATGGCTTAGTAAGACAGAATTTTTGATGAAAAAGATTGCAGCCTTTTGAAAGAGAAATTTGGAAATTAATTCTTACAAACCAATAAGGAGTTGTTATACTGCACATTTTGGGCTAGTTCTGAATTCCCACACCATGAAGGGAGCTGCTCTTGCTTGGTACATATGTAAGAGATAACATGCTTGGTTTCTAAAACAGTTTGTATATATACTTCTTATGCTATATGAGCTTTGGAGAAAAATGGGGAACTAAAAATGCATCCTATGATGTCCGCTTTGTCTTTGTTTATTGATTAAGCATAGTAAATATTTTGAAGATTTAAGACTTGTTTTGCAAGTGTTGCTAATTTAAATATCTTAAACAGTTTTCCACATCAAATGTCAAGGAATAAACTCAGTCAATTTGTACAGCATGGCATAAAGATAATTATACATATACTCTGGTATTTTTAGGTGCCTTTTTTTGAACCATTCCACAGGAATTATACGTAAGTCAGATATGTAGCAGGTAAGATGTAATACCAGAGCCACAACAATGAAATTTGGGATCAGCCCACAGATACATCTATTTTGGGATTTTCTTTTACCATTTTCTAATAGTAAACATACTTATTTTACCCTCAGGTGTACAAAAGTTTAAACCTAGCCACATTTCAAGTTAGTTTGGAGACTGATTGACATTTTATCTAATTTCAAAATTTATCATTATCAGGTCATAGTATTCTACTAACAAAAGGGTTTAACTCACAAAAAAGTCAAAATGCAGATGAAACCTTCAATTGCTTTATGAATTGTTCTTAGGACTAAACATTTAGAAATACGAAAGCCGCAGAAAACATATATATGTACACACACACATATTCACTCCTATACTTCACTGACATCATCAGTGTGCCAAATATATTGCACAGAAGATTATCTATTGTTCAAAAGATACACAGAACTGTTCTTTGTTTCTTCTCAGTAACTGAAGTTTTGCAAACGGGGAGAAGAGGCAAAAATGGCAAAAGCACTAAGCCAGCCAAATGCATTTTGAGTGAAGCGCATGTCAGTGCGGTTACAACATGGATTCTTTTGATCAATTTTTTTATTGAGCTTGCAGACATTTTCCACCAACCAAATACCACAGACCACAAGACTATTTAGGAGATTCACAAAGTGAATTATGAGGAACTTAACAAAAATACTCCTTACTCTCTTTAAATATGGAATACCTATTCTAAAACAAGTCAATTCCTGTTCTGCTCCACTCTAATGTTTCAGAAGATTATCTCACCCTTCAAAATTCATAAACATAGTTTTTTCTATCAGAGATTTTTCGTTTGGTGAAAAAAAGGTAACAGAAATCTGTTGACAGTGAAAATAGTCACATTTTAGACAATGACTATTCTTTAATACTTGCGATTTACAAGTGGTAAGCAACATTCAAGAGAAATCTAGTTTCCAGGGAAAATGCAGTGGAAAATGAGTATTACGCACTTGCTTTGTCACTATAATAAAATAGTTCAGAAGCATAAGAACTTTTTAGTTTTTGAACTAAGTATAATCATTCGGCTGTGTATGTCTACTAGCAGCTGATGAACAAAAACATTAATTTCTTCAATCTTCTTTTGTAACTTCCTAATGCTCTTTAAATGTCACACAGCTGATTCTTATGCTGATTTTTCTTCTTCTCAAAGCTAGAAAATTTCTTTTTTTACAGTACTCTATGAGGAACGCAAACATTTTGCTGAAGTTTCCACACAAACAACTGAGCCCACAACTTCCCACTCCAACACCATCCAAGAAGAACCACAAGAACACTCAGTTAAAAAACAGAAACAAAATGTGCAGTTCTGGAAGACAGATTGTTCATTATTATCATTATTATTATTATTAAGGAAAAAACAGTAATTAATCCTAAGCTATTAAAATATTCTTTTGAGCTACCACTTCAAAGATTTTGTTTTCCTGAAATGTTCCAATCTGAAACATGTTACTTACTGGCATAAGAAGTGTATAATGGATGCAGAATCCAGGTTCAGAAGGAAAATATTCATCAGACACAAATCTTATTCTGATCTGGTTTCCTTTGGAGATTTGTCTGCTTGGCACACTACTGGAACCACACCATCGCCCTAAAACAGTGCCATCACTAGGCTCTTCAACTTCTACAAAGTCATACCTGAACAGAAAAGAAAATCAAATGTTTATTGACTGATAAAATTTCTATAAACTTCCTGCTGCAATCAATAAACTGGCTCAGCAGTTTGCAATTTCTCTTTTTGTTGTTTTTTTGTTTGTTTGTTTGTTTTTTTCTTTTTAATGTTAAAAGTATGCTACCAAAGCCAGATATTTTAAACTTAGCTTCCAAGTTGCTGCTGCCTTAAATACATAATAAAATCATGCAGTGAGGTTAAAAAAATAAAAGCAGAGTTAGCATTTTGAAGACACCCATGAGTATGGTTTTGTTTGTTCCTTTTACGGAAAGCAATTACAACATGTGGGATAGGGCAGAATAAAGTCAGAGAAAATAGATTGAAATTGGTTAAGTGTGGCACAGTAACTCCTAGGGCAATACCACTCGCAGTATCCTGCATGGCACCAGTCAAAGTTCAAGGGCTTTTTGCTATGGAAAACTTGCCCTCTTGTAATACCAGTGGTGAACAAGCTCCTGAAGGTTAAGGTGGCTTAGGGAAACTCAAAAACACATTTTGATTTTATGCATATCCCAATGAGACATTTGTTGAGCAAAGACCTAGATGAACTGCGTGTCAGAAAGAATCTGGCATTTTGGTAATATTGACAAGAGAGATACGGATTGGGAGCTTTGAGAGAATGAAACTTGTTAAGTTTGATTTCTTTCCATTGGCTTTTAACATGTGGCCTGGGTATCCCTGGGGATCTGTGAACAACTTCAAATAGATCCATGAAAGGTAACTACATAACCCCAGTCAATTGTCATCAATAAGCCACACAAAGTTCTCGCTTCCACTGGAAAATGTTTAGAGGGTTCCCAAGTCATAAAACCATTGAAAGCCACTGCTCTAGAAGGTAGGTCTGGTTTCAGTGCTTTAACCTGTTTCATGTCAGCTCCCCTGCTACCCACTGACAGGGTAAACACTGAGCATTTCAGCTGGGTTTCCCCGGCTGCAGCCTGAAACCCTCCAAGCCCCAGCAGCAGCACGGTCCAGTGGTTCAGGAAAGTGAGAGTGCATCAGTTAAAGCCCAGCAAACATTTGGAAGCTCACAGCTGTAGCTTTCCGAGGCACTGTTTTACTTTTAAACCACAACTTGTATTCTAAGCACAAGCATAACACGCCTCTGAGAAAGTTTCAAGATTTCTGATATTTTTACATTTTCTTACATGTGTAGTCCTATACTAAATCAGTCTCACATAAATCTAAATTGGTAAATAGCACTGAAACCTTTCCAAGATGATAGCAAATACTCATATTTTAAAAAACATGCACACAACATTCTACCAAATATGCCAAGCAATATTTAATGTGAAAATTATTACCTCATAAACATTTTCTACTAAAGCTTTTTCTGGATTTTCTTTTTTTTCGGTAAAGCTAATCTTTATAATGATTCCCAGTTCCCTAGTTAGACAGCAGGCAATAAATTCTTGTGTTGCATGTTTGTGCAAGACTGACTTGCACATTTATTATCTCCATTTAAAGGACCAGTATTTTTTCCACTTAATTAAAAATGAATGGAATGAATATGCTCATTAACTGTGTCCAAAATCCATTACTGCCATGTACCACAGTTTTAAATCTTTATTGAACTTATGATACTAATTACTTTATCACCATCTTTTTTTCCCTCTCAAACACTAATTCCTTTAACTGGTCCACCGGTGTTTTTATTTTATGATCAGGTATATAACACATTACAAAGGCAATGTGTACATTAACTGTACTAAGAGTTTAGGGCTCAAAACATTTATCAAATTGATATTTTTTTTTAGTTAGGAATATGGAATAAATATCTACTTTTCTGATTTGTAAAGAGTGAAAAATTTTATATGTATTGACTTAAGTTTAGGATGTCTGGGAGGTCAGGTAGAGTATAAATGTTAATGTTTCTACGTAACTTACAGAGTACTTTCTATCGCACTCTTTGGTCTCCTGGTACCCCCGAAGAAAAAGAGAAATTCATATTTCATGGTTTAAACTCTAGACCTTTAAAATAAATGCTAATTAGTTCCATTAGTTGAGAAGTAGAATAGAGGGGGAAAAGTATTCAGAAAAACCCAAATAAAATGTTTGATATACATGACAGATCCAGATAATACTTTTTCTCAGAGATTCTTCTATATTTAATTATTTTCTCCTTGATCTGTGTAAATCATATTTCTAAACAAGTTTTCATTTCTAATAAAAAAAAATAATCTGATTTTTCTGTGTGGTATCAGTGTTACCTTGATTGAGAGGTTTCCCAATCACCTTCCCCCAACCCAAATACCAGTCTTATAATCAGAAATCTACTTGTTTCCAAGTGATCAATCTGGAAACACTCTGATCATTATATAGCACTCACTAGTACTGAACTGTTGTGTGCACAATTACCAATATCGCTGTTTAAGGTATTTACTAAAACCTATTTTATAAGCCAATTCAACATAACTTTCTCATGGTAACATGGTACAGTACATACAGCACAGTTTATAATGATTACTCCCTTTCTGCAGTACCTCCCTCAGGACCTATAGAGGATTTCTGTTCTTTTAGTATGTCCAACAAACAAGCCTGGTGCTGTAGACAAAAATTTCTGTTTTCAAAAACAAATATATGGGATATGTGTATTGGCTTCTGGCTGCTGAACACAGATGTAGGTGTAGCTACCAGCACAATATAGATATTTCATCATCAGCAAGGGGAATCTTTAGATTTTCTGTCTATATCAATAGAAAAAAGTGCCTCACATGTTTCCTGGACGTAATGACATTTTTAGCCAATAACTTTATTTCTTTAATTTAATTTTCTTTAATTCCTCCCATTGCACATCTGGACTGAAGTCTGAATTTGCTGTGGAAAGTAACAAAACAAAGTGGTTCAGATGCTTCATCATTTACAAGACTGTGCTACATAATTCTGCAGCTTCACGTCACAGGGCTAAAGAGTAGCAGGGACAACAGCGTAGCCATCCAGAATTATTTCTCCATCTAGAGAAATTTGTATTTGAAATGCAAGAAAACTGGCATAAATAACCAAAAACTGAGAAGCTATTTTCCATCTACAGCAGAGTAAAACATGTTAAAAGGCACATCGAACCAAACAAAGAATCCTTCTTTTTTGAGCAGTGTTCAAAGGAGAAAACACAACCCTCTTTGACAACAACTAAAGAAATGCTGTGGTGCTGTATCTATGTTCAATACATTATTCAAACATTACTAAGTAAAATTTATGACAAAGAGGTAGTCCAGTCTCCTCTCCTGGGATGAGAGAAGCTTTTACCTTTAGTCATGATGCCCACAATGCCTTCCCTTATACTTGTTGCAGAACATGTATTCCTTTTCCCTATGGCCTAGGTGCCTCAGGCCGCATATTGAATTAACAACCTGAATAAAGACAATTTATTGGAAAAGAGCAAGGAAGCGATGTAAGTGACACTAAACTTCAATGTTTTTCCAACCAGGAAATGTACTTTTCAATGGAAAGGTTTTCCTCTCCTTTCTATATTTTTTCTGTGGTTTACGCTGTCATTTGCTAAACATATTCTGACAGGCTGTTTACCTTGGCTTGCAGTTTTGTGACCTTTTTGTGGCTTCTTTCTGCCTTTGGAATTCCACAAATATATCAATGAATGTAAGAAGCAGAAAGCCAAGAGGTAGAACACTTTGTCATATCAGCGATGTTGGACCTTTCCATCTCTATACAGACCTGCGCTAGGCAAAAATCTAGCACACCTATTAAAACAGCTTGTGAGAGATGAAATATATTTTTCCTTCCCCCTTTGACAAGAACCCATTTAATTATTTTTTTTTTTCAAATGAAGAAATAGGAATTTGATAACAATCCGTCTTTTTTTTTTTTAACAGTGGCCTGTGGGACCCTGTTATATTTCTATTCCAACTTGTTTTAAAGCGCATAGAAATCCAAGGTCTTTTTGGTGCTGGCACAGCACTCCAAAATATCTACATCAGCTGCAGACCAAAAGCATTCAAGGTCCCCTGGCAGTTCACCAGACAAACTGTTACTGAATAGAACTTAGATGGTCTATATTTGGACAGCTTCAATTTTGGAAACATTGGAAATTACTAAAAACTGTCATCATGAAAATATCATTTTGATCTTTTTCTAAAAGAAAAGGGAAGTAAGGCCAAATGTTTAGCTTGAAGATATTTTCTTCAAAGCTTGTCTACCTCACTTGCAATAAATTCAAGAGACCTCCTCCAGTCAACCCAGCTCTCCAGTAATTCTCTGATGGGCAGATTCACATTTACCTTGGTAGAAAGGGGAACACTGGAGCCCGACAGAAGTACGCAAATCCATGGTATCTAATGGCAGACTGAATCTGTTTAACCAGCCTTGTTATTCCCCATAAGTCAATGTGCTGAGCAGAGTCCAGCAAAGACACATGGCAGGACAAGGGGAATGCAAAACTTATGACAAAGGGCTTGGGGAAAATTGGAGGAATCCAAGAAGGAAGAAAGCAGAAGACAAGAGAGCTGCATGCTGCCTTAGAGAAATTAGATGTATCAACAATTGTAAAAAGAAGAGTGTAAGCGCACCATTCATTCAATAGGTGGAGAACTTTCTTCTTTTCTATTACCAATACTGCCCCTCACTGAGACTAAAGTAAGTTTTCCTCACAGACCAAGGCACACAGTTACAAGGATCTTCATGTGTGATGAAAATCAAAATGATACAAAAATTTAACAATTGGTAATAATGAAACTGCAGATACTTGTGCACTAATTAATTTATTTGCTTTTCAAATGCAGCAATTTACTTCACACTGGTTTGTATTTGTTGCCAGACAACAAAATCTGCATGAACCTCAGAGTGGAAAAGATTGACCTGTTCAGTCCAGTAGATACAAAGTTCCTGAAATCTCAAACCAGCAGCAGCACATATCAGTAAAAGTCAGCTATTAGTAACTCAACTTGCCAGCTGATGGCAGAGCAAAAACTTGCATGATACAGAAAATAAATTCCTGGAAGAAGGGAAGGGA